GCGCCGCTTGCCGATCCGCTTACATACGCCGGCGGCCGAGGCAAAACACCGGCCAGACTGGCCGTAATGGCATGCTGCCATGAACGCAGAAATTGCTTATGCACAAGCCACCGGGTTCATCGTGCCAAACTCCACACACCTCCCACCCTGCTGCCGCTGGATTTTCCGCACCAAGCGCTATGCCGATGACACCATCTACCATGCTCGCATCGTTTGCGATCGCAATCATGCTCCGGACACCCCCGACTTCACTCCAGGGGGAGTATTTCTGTACACCCGGCAACCTCGGGTCAAACACACGAACGTACGCGCTCACCGGCGACTCCATTAGGCAACGCAGTCTTCTCACTGAAGATTCAGTTGTTTCTGCTGCATTTCTCCACCCTATGCTTCCCTTTCACGGACTCACATCTTCTCCATCTATAGCGCTCTAAACGGGGAAAAAATACCCCCCTGGACAGAAACCTGTATCCGAGGACTTACCTGTCGCAATCCGAGAACTTTTGTCATTTTATATGACAATGTCTCGGAAGACTGAGCCCCGAGAACTTGAACCCTCCGACGAGCGCAGCAAGCAATCATTCTCAATCACGTGGGAAAAGGTGGTATAGGGCTAAATTTGTGCGAAGTTTACTTGCGCTGAGACATTCAGGGGGGTGAATTTTAGAAGTTTAGATATTCTGATAGCTCTAGGTATTCTCTTTCAAATGATGCCCATTTTTTAGTTACTGGAATCATCATTCGTAAATTTGAATGACTGACAAGGAGGTATGGTCACATGATATTCACATGGATTGGTTTGTCATCCGCAGATAAATTTTGATGCTAAACTATAGGATGGAATTAACACTGCGCGAGCTACCCTGCTGACCCTGACAGCGGATTCCTAGTAGATCCCAAGTACCGATGTCCTCAAGCTGGACTACTGATGTCTGTCCATGCAGTATCTGTTATGCAGTCCTATCAGGGTGGGAATCTGGACTTTTGTGCTGGTCACACACTGTCTGTCAGTGTCCGACACGCGGTGCCAGCATTTGAGACTCAGACCTAACTACTTACCTGCAAGAGGTTGGAAATGAACCCAGATACTATGACAACATTTCTACAATGCCTAGCTGTCCTCCTCCAAGGACAAGGTAAGAAGCCCTCCCTCTTATTGCTTACTTATTCCAGTATCTCTCATTTAAATTCAATTGACAAGACCGCAGAGTTGGATCGCAAAGCTTTGGAGAAAGGCATGTGGGAGAGGATGAAGGAGTTTGCTTCCCGCATTCCCGGCTCTGACAAGCGCTGGGATGAGGCTGAAGAGTGAGTGCTAGTGACCAGCGTTCAGCAGCTCTGACCCCTACAAGACAAGGCCTCTTAGATGTGGAAAGAACAATTGAATTTGGAACAAAGTATTGTCATGACAAGAAAATGCCTGTCACTGTGAAAGGCATCCTGGAGGTGCACGCTTACCGCGCGTCGGTCGTCGAACGGGGCCCCAACGCTGATTTGTCGGACGCCAATGCTGCCAACTTCCCCATACGCTAGACAATTGCATCATCAAGGTTATTGATTCATGTGTTTGCTTTCGGAATGTGTACATATATGACATTGGGACAGTGTTGTGAGTGATTGGAGGTGCACCATAAGTCGGTTTCTCACGCACAGGGTAAGTACATGTAGACCCAAAGATATCTGGGAATCCTCAAAGCCACAGCCCATCTCAGGATAATTGCAATTAGCATTACAGCGTGAACAGATGTCTTGTGTGCGAGATACACCATTCATCATCGTCAAGTCCAAGCAGGAGACATTATAAGCAGTCCGTTCGTCATCGCCGTCAGTGGGCTCCCCGAAGAGACTTGGACGTAGCGAGAGCCTTGTCAGTATGGTCAATAAACAAGTGTGGAAGCATCAAAAGACAAACTCACTCATTGCCGCCGCGCCTCACTGCGTCGATCTTCAACGAGCCGTATGACAATGGAGAATCTCTGCGGATACCATCAAATGTCGAAGTAAATAAGGAGTGAAACACGGGGCATACCTCACGCGTGTCCGTTGTCGCAACACCTCGGTAGCTTGGTACCCTGTCAGTATATTGAATTATTGAATTCACGTTGAATGTTGCCTACGCACACAAGTCAACCAGTATAAAGGTCAGGGAACCATAGACTTCATATTCATGAAGCCTTGATGCTTGAGATACGTGTTGATTGTCGTTTGCTGACCGCAATGACATAAAACGATTTTCAGGCAGGATGTGAGTGTGAGTGGGGGGAGTAGAACGTCGAGGATGTGCAAGTAACAGAGTCCCCAAAGCTCGTAGAAATAGGAAATATATTGTCTGAGCTTGGATGATATGGGGCTGCAAAGCGTGGGCGGACTAGGGCATTCGAGTATTCGTACGAAAAATGGACTTTGACCTCGTGCGAGGTTTACACCGAGCACTAGCGTTGCTGGCCATGTCATTCGTGACCCCGATATTGCACGAATTATGTTGGGTTTGCACTGGGGCGGCAGTTCTTCCTCAGAAACATTGTGTGAGCCGGTGGTGCATTTCGGAGTCCTCCAGTTCAAAATAGCCGCTTTTCGGACGCAGCCCCCGTTCGAATGCTGAAGTGTTTCCTGCCGTATTTGTGTGTGCTATGACTCCTTCAAAGTTGGCGGCTCAGCAGAGTCCATAGAGTGAGGCACAGCTCGTTGTGTCGTCGTCTACTAAATGGCTTCAACAATGAAGTATGACCTGTTCATTGCTTATAATAACACACCTCATTGACCTCTGTCCTACGAAGCTCTCAGGCGTTATCCAATGCCCAGTGCCCAGTGGTCGACCCATGTTGCGAGTGCGCGTCACTGTCCACAGTCTGTCCACCCCGGTAGTCGACCAAGGGTCCAGATAAGAAAGATGGGCTGATAAGTAGTTGAGACGTTTTGCGCTCATGGCAGCAGCCAGCACGTCGTCGCCAGCAAGACGTTCATCGTCGCAAACGACAAATGCGATTGGTCCCATTCTTGGGGAAATCATTTCCTACTTGGGAAGGGATTGCCACACAATACTGTTTATCCGAGAACTCACATTTTCACTCATCCAACGTTCGAACTTCTGGGGGAACCTCCGCTACTGCACCAGCCCCGCGAGTAGTAGCTTCTACTGTAGCTAGTCGCGTCATGTCACACGTAGTCACATCATCCAAGCTTTACCTTACACCAAGCGTCCCGAGCCTTGGGCATCTCCACCGCCGTCACAGAATAGACTTGTGGTGTCCCCGCTTCGCTTCTGACTGATCCAAGGAAGGCTCAAACGATACTATCTGAAGCACGCTGCGACTGCACCTTATGATTCAAGATACATCTGAAAACGATGAGTGAAGTCCACCTGCATGATCTGGGAACTTTCTAGGAAAAGGCGGTGAGCTCCATGACTTCGCTTTCAGTGCCATTTCCAGTATACTGCCGCTCTGAAGTTTTGCTGAGGCTCGTTGACTGGTCAAGAAGTCAGACACGCAAACTTGAATGTTTGAACTTCCCTACTCCCAACTTAAACCGTCTTCGTTCAGAACCATGCGACGGTATGGGCTGGAGATATTTGCAATATCGTCGAATGGCATTCGGCAGGATTTGGGCGGCTTGGTATCGTTATGGTTGTTTTCGACGGGAAGTGCGGAAATCAGGCTAGATGAGGAGGATCCAGTGGCGACGGAGAACTTCTCGCATTATGCCTAGGGGGGATCTTCAATGAGGGTACACGAGAATGGTGGGAGTGGGACTCGTGCCAGTCCCACTCCCACCTGATCTGTGGGACTGAGCACGCCCCAGTGGGATTCAGCCCACATTTGATTGATTCTGAATCAATAAATGACAGATGTAATCAATCATAGCAGTGCGCAGCAGGCCTCCGCGGCGAGCGGCTGCCCGCGGCAGCGTGGGGTCTGGGGCGAAGCCCCGGTCGATGATATTTTCCACGGCAAAAAATAGAGAAAAAGCGAGAAAAAATATTAAATGCTCCGCGCAGCGGGCCCCGCGGCGAGCGAAGCCCCCGGCAGGGTGGGTCCACCCTGGTTGGGGTCCGCCCGGCCGTCACGGCCGGCGCCGCAACCCGATCAAAGTTATTCTTGTTATATAGGATGTAATGGAAGCTAAACACAAGCCCTATGACACTCCATACATGAGCTTGAACATCTAGTGGATTATAGTAAACCTATATAGTGAATTGAAGCTAAGTTGGCAGTCTAGGAGCATAGCTGAAGCTAATTTGATAGAGCCAACTATGATTTACAAATTTTTGTATATAATGGCACATGTAAAATGGTCCTTATTTGAGTTGAGTCAAATTGAAATCCTACAATAGTACCTTTAAGGTAAAGATATGGAGCCAAATGAAGCTAACCCTGATATTCATGGAAATTATCTGATGATACAATTTAAGGCCAACTGAAGCTAAACTCAATAAGTGATAATCATGCTGAAGGTTTATATCTACAGAAGAAAACTTAAGTTGAAGATTTGGTGATCTTTTGGGGCATCAAGTTTATATACTTAAGGCTCAGGTCTTAAGAGTCTTTTAAGTTACAAACCTTGAGATTTATAGTGGGCTATTTGATTGAAAACTTAAGTTCCAAAGGCTTAAGCTGTGTACTAAAGGCTATACTTAAGTATTAGATTTTAAGATCATGTTATATAATCATACATATAGATCTACTTAACCAGTGAGAGGTCCTAGTAATATTTCCAATATCTTAAGATTGAGCTAGGCTTAAGAAATAGTTTGACTAGGCCATGGAAAACTTAAGTTATGCTCAGCTAGTTTATGGACCGGAGTGCCCCAGCCCTCCCGACAACACCAAGCAAATTTGTCATGTTCCAGGGGATCAGCTCGCGCGTGGACGATACGGGCGTGATAAAGGTGTTGCTTGACGGGGGGCTACACACCGGGTTCTACCGGATGACCGTGGGATATTCCCTACCGACCAGGCCCGGTAATCAATCTTGTCCGACTTGACTCTGCTTCCCACTAGATGCTCGGCCTCCTCGATCTTCCCACCGAGCTCCTTGTAGAGCTCCCGCAGTACTACCCCGTGCTGCATTGCCCTCTGCAGGCCGACGTCCTGAGTACCTATCTGGCAAACGATTACACTGGTGTAGACACGCTCTGCGCGCTGGCGCAAACATGTGTCCGGCTTCGCCACGTGTTCCAGCCAATCCTATGGCAGAATATATATGTCTGCCCAGGGCGAAGCAACGATATCGAGGGGGCCGAGGGTAGGATGAAGACTGATGAGACACTGGCGGCGTTGAGAAGGGTAAAGGATATGCATGTCCATGTACGGTGCGTGAAAGTCTGTGAACGTGCTTTGCTTTCCCCCCTGCTAACTGTGTTAACTCAGTTCGCTGACAGTCTCCCTCCATGAATGTACGGAAACCAACCGGAGCCCGGCCGTTGAGCTTGTGCGCTTCCTCCAGTGCATCCCGCGCCTTCGGACCCTCATCATTACTGGTACTCGTACCCGGCGGGACATCGACTTCTGCAACGTTGCCGCCTCCATGCTCGGGATCTCCCTCGAACAAATGACATTTCCCAGTGTCACAGAGCTTACCACAGACACAGACGATATCGACCTCATGCTAGCCCTTAAATCCTTTCCTAGTCTCACAACGTTGAACTTCGGCGACGGCAGGAACCATTCAATCACCTTTCATCTAATTGCGGAGTACTGTCCGCACATAGAGATCCTCCGGAACATTGGCCTGCCCAGAATCGAGTTCGCGGCGCCGCATCTTGAGAAAGCTCCGGAATTTGTACTAGGTATGTGCCTTACTTTGATATGCCCATCGACCCTAATTGAATGCCATGTTCAGCTCTGTATAAATACTTTCCCAAACTGAGATGTCTTTCGCTGAGCGGTTCCCTGAGTACAGTGTGTTTCTGCTTATGCATTTCTTTGTGGGGCATTACTAAATTTCTTGTCCACTGACAGGACTCGGACGGCCTTGGTTGCATGGTACCCCTTGGGTTCCAGCGTCTAGAGCAGCTGACACTTCGCCACAAAATCTGGGTGGAATTTGACCCGGTCGCGGGGGGGCCAACAACGACCCGCGGCGCTGTCGCCGACCAATTTGTTGAAGATCTCATCGCAGTTGGCAAGGAAATCCTCGGGACATCATCTACAAAAAAGCAGCGGGTTCTTCGTGTCGAGGTCAAGAACGGAATTTGGAAAGATAATCCGCAAATTACGAATACCATCGAGACATTCTATATATAACTAGCAATTTCAGTTATTTTTCTAGGTGGTTAAATTTCAGCTCGACCGTAGTGCCCCAACCGTCACGGTCCCGACGACACCAAGAAAGTTTGACATGGGATGAGGCTGAGGAGTGAGTGCTAGCGCCTAACCCGCGTTCAGCAGCTCTGACCTTTACAAGGCAAGGCCTCTTAGATGTGGACAAAACGATCGAAATTGGAAAGGAGTATTGCCAGCGCAAGAAGATGCCCCTCACCGTGGAAGCTATCCTGGAGGTGCACGCCTACCGCGTGTCGGTCATCGAACGCGGCCCCAACGCTGATTTGTCGGACGCCAACGCTGCAAACTTCCCGATACGCTAGACAGTTAAGTTACCGATTCATGTGTTTACTCTCGGAATCCAAACTGGGATGAGTTCCCTTTTGACCGATGAAGGATTTCCCTGCCGCATTCGCGTGCAACGTGACTGGGTCTTTTTGAGTTGGCGACACTTCCAGTTGGGGGAAGCGGCATGAGAAGACGTGTCGCCGCCGCGAACCACTGTCAGACGGTGTCAGTCGTGATTTCGACGAATGAGTTAACCGCTACCATATGAATAACGCAGCTGATTACCCACTATTTTGCTCTAAGGGCGACTCGCGGCTCCGTCGAGCCATGGCGCAAGCGTTCCGACCAAGGCTGCCAGATGACAAAGGCGAGCTCAAAGCTGAGAAATTTCGCGCTCACGGCAGCAGCCAGCACCTCGCCGCCGACGAGACGCCCATCGTGGCAACTGTGGTGGCTTTCTTGGGTGAATCTCCCTAGGGTTTCAGGCAAAACGACGTTGTTTCGAGAGTTGATCATGGCCGTCTCCTGGCTCATCATCATCCAGCCGACGACGACAGTGCAACAGGTAATTAGCCGCCGCAGAATAGACTTGTGGTGTGAGTGTTCATTGACTGACCTGAGGACACACAAACAGTTGAGAAGGAGTCTGTTATGGCGCTTCGAAACTGGACCGTGCGACAGAATGCAATGGGAAGTGATGCTTTGCTTTACAATTATTATGTGAGTGGGGTGTGTAGAATGGAATATATAAAGGCTTTACGCCTGGTCTACGATGACGTCGCGCCCGTTAGAGCGGACAGAATGCCTCGACGGGTCCCGGCTGAGCGGTTTGCGCATGTCTTTAGTTTAATTTCAATAAAATCCAAAGAAAAATCGAGTTCACGCACCAAACGCGTCCTCCTCATCTCGCCCCTCCCTTCCCCGCCCGAGACTGCCGTAATACTCCCGTATCCTCCGCCAGACGCTGTAGCCCATGCCCTCGTACATGTCAATGGCAACCTGGTTTTGGCAGCGCACGAACAGGTCGACAAATGCGCCGGTATATACCGCGTCAGCGACCAGCTCGAGTAACGTGGTCAGCGACCGCGCCAGCCCGAGGCGGCGGTATTCGGGGGCGATGGTCAGCGCCGTGACATGGCCGTGCCAGTCGGACGAGGTGCCTTCGCGCCCGGCGTTGCCCATGACTAAGAAGTTTGCGTGAAAACACTTGGGGAGCAAAAAAGCTGCTCACCATAGCCCATGAGCCGCCCGCTCGGCGCGGCCTGCACGTAGCACAGGTCCGGCCACGTCGCGAGGTACTGCAAATAGAACCCCAGGTCGTACTACGCAGTTGTCAGCTAACAGCATCACCGACCAGCCAGGCGACACACCGTTTCGGTCCAGACATCCAAATTTCTGCGTCGCGTTAGTAGTAGCCCTCCCCGAAGTGGGTTGGACATACATATTGTTGAACCGGAACAGGTCGTCGACGTGCAGCGGGCGGAGGACACTCATGTGGGGCGGGAGGAAAGGGCAAGGAAAAAAATGTATGTCACGGAGCGGATCGGAGGCCACGCTCACGTGGCCGGCCGCCGGTACCCCATTCGGCAGAAGTATTGCCTGTTTGGGAGTGCTGATCGGAGATATATGAGTGAGCCAAGTTTTGTTGCGTCGAAGACGAAATGTGGGCTATGTGCCGCCGTCGTTGATGCTGCGTTGACCTCTCGAAACGACTTGAAGCGCCGCCAAGGTAGCAAGCACTTAGTGGTGGGCGCGGTCGCGTTACAGCATCAACCCGGCGCTAGCTTCATCTGATGGCGGACCAATGGCGGATCCGGACCGACGCGCGAATGACGTGTGAGCGATGATGCCACGACACCACGAGGCGGCCTTACACGCATACAACGACTCCTCCTACTCTCTTGCTCTTTGCATTGAACAATGAGCTTTGCTGGGACAAATATCCACATCGTTGGTATGTTGATCCATTCTCAGGCTGAGCCAAGCCACCGCCGCACCCGATTCAATGTTCCCAGGTGGTCACGGCGGCGGTGGCGGGGCGGGAACAGAAAGCGGCGGAGACGGGGGAACTGGTGGAGGAACAGCAATTACCGACAGCTTCAATATTCATTACCACGGAACATTGCCAGAGTGAGGTGTCACACCAAGTGGGAAAATGAACTGACACCCATTGCAGGGACATGGTCTCAGATAGTCAGTGTACTATATTCTGTATGATCTTTAAATTGTCTGAGGAATTTGACTACAGAACCATATCATGGGTGCTCTCGCCCATCTGATAACTTCACTGGGCGCACATATATTCTAGCACAACTGAAAGAATTCTTTGGAGAGACAAGTCAACAAAGCCCAAAGCTTGTGCTTCTATTTGGTCTAGGTGGCATAGGCAAAACACAGACTGCCCTCAAAGTTATTGCAGAATCCAGCTCAAGGTATGATGCAATAACTCTTCCTTTATATATTTATACCTCTCCAGATTCACAAACCAGTTCAAAATTGATGCAACCAATGAAAATACTATCGATACAGGATACAGAGAAATTGCTAGAATCAAGAATCAAGAAATTTCAGTCACAGCTGCACACACATGGCTGACAGGAAACACAGATGAATGGCTCATTCTCTTTGATAATGCAGATAATGTGGAGCTGAATCTTTGGGAGCACCTTCCCAAGTGTAATCATGGTAACATCCTAATTACATCTCGGAACCCAGTGTCAGGGGAACCCCCGCTTCGGCCTCCTTCGGACCCTCCGAACGCATCCGAGGCGCATCCGACCGGGGCCCCCTCGGACGCTCCGACCCACCCCGACCATCGTCCACGGCCTCCTTCGCCTGCACAATCACCGATCCGTCAAGACCCTCCCAACGATCACCTTGGGACAGAGCCTGCGACGCCGCTCAGGCCTTCTGCGCTCTACGTCGGCAGTTACGGACGACCAGTATATAGTTGGCGCCCTAGCAGGCGGACCCTTAGAGTTTCTTCTCTTTGGATCCTCCCCTGCTAGGTCGGTCCCTCCGTGTATTCCTGTAGCTTTTATTCACGCTTTGGATCCTCCCCTGCTAGGCTTTTGTCGGAGTCTCCAGGGTTGCCCTTACAGCAGAAGAAACTCTCTACGGGATTAACCGGTCAAGATTGCCAGGTTTGGCGCTGATTCAGGCTCGGAGTACGAGTCCGTACCCCCCTCGTCACCGCCCCTGCCACTCCTCTGCTCTTGTCGTCTTTACGCCCGCTATGTCCACCGGAGCTGCTCCGGACGCTGACGCGCGCATGGACGCACTTGAGGCAAAACTAGACAATCTCACCAATATCCTCACCCACCTTGCTTCCCAGGCTTCCGCTGCCGCACCACCTTCGGCAGCTCCCGAACCGCCTTCGGCATCTCCGAATGCCCCCGACGCGGATGCGTTATTTGGTGACATTACTGTCGCCTCAAAACTGGTCTTACGGCCAAACCCCCCGTTTGCGTTTAACGGAGATCGCAAACGTGGCCGTGCCTTCCTATACGCGGTCAAGACTTATGCCCGGCTTGCCCCGGAGGCCTTCGTGGTCAACGGAGAGCCGAGCGAAGAAAAGGCCGTCCGCTACGCCATGTCCTATATGGCGGAGGGACCTGCCCAGCAGTGGGCAGAGCGTCATGGAAGCAAAACCCCGTTCCCCTTCCCTCGGTGGAACCTATTCCTCTCCGAGTTTCGCCTTCGGTTCGTTGAGGAGAACGAGCAAGACCTCGCGCTCGCCAAGTTGGAAAGCGCGGGTTATCACAAGGGAATGCGGGACGTCTACGGATACACCGACAACTTCGAGGACCTAATGGACCTCGCCGGATTCGAGGACACGTTGGTTAAGGTGACCATGTACCGCCATGGACTTGACCCCCTGATCAACAATGGCATCAGGTCCTCGAACGACCCCCCAGACCTCCGTGACTATCTGGGCTGGCGCACTCGGGCTTTCCGCCAATACGAAGCCTTGGTGCGGGCGAAGCTCATCAAAGGGACCACCCCGCGGACGCCTTCGGGGGCTCCGCGTGGCGCATTCCCTATCGCCCGTTCGGCAACTCCGTTCCCCATCCGCCCAGTGGCCGCACCTGCGCCACCCGCGGCCCGCGCCCCCGTCTCGGTACCTCCGGCTCCTGTCCCTATGGAGTTGGATCGTACTAGGGCTCGGGGCGCCCCTCGTCGAGCCTGCTTCAGATGTGGTGACCCCAACCACTTGGCTCGGGATTGTCCGCTCCCCGCCAATGTTCGCCATGTGGACATCCTTGACGAGGTGATCCAGCAACTTGGCGACGAGATGCTGGGAGAGCTGCTTGCGCGGCTGTCCGATACCGCGGCCTTAGCAGAGGCGCATTCGGAGGCTCCGGCAGAGAATTTTGTCCCCCGCGACGAGTGACTGGTGTGCCCTTGTTCGCGTCCATAAATCGTTTCACTTGTTTGTATGATGAATCAACTCCCTTGCCCTACAACGAGCCTGAAACGAAAGACGCACCCCCCTGCCCCCTCCGAAGCCCCCGTTCAGATTCGCCGACTTGCCTGGGAGAAAAAGTTACCTGGCAGCTATACCATCTCTGCCGCTCCTGGGGTTAACTCGCTCCACCTTCCTCTCGAACTTGAGTCCACTGCGAACGCGCTCAAGCTCTCCCTCTCAGGTCTGGTCGACTGCGGAGCCACTTCGGACTTTATCGACACAGAAT